AAAAAAGCATGTGGCCTCCAACTGAAAACAGTTGAACAGTCAGCATTTCACAGAGGCTGTATGGACAGCGACTTCACACGTTGGCGTGATCGATGAAGAGAATGACCTACGTCGGTTGTCATTGACTCTGACAGATCAAACACTTACACCCATCTCACACTAGTTAAACAAACAGCAGCACAATCTGCAGCACGCAAAATTTCCAGTTAAAATGCCACAAAGCCTGGGTCGCAAGTCATCTTTCATCAACGCCTCAGCCATGATTACAAATAATTAATTATTGCCGAAATTTGAAGAAGTGTATTGTGGTGTGTATGCGCGCGTATTTGTATGAATGTATATGTCTGTCTGTCTGTCTGTCTGTCTGTCTGTCTGTCTGTCTGTCTGTCTGTCTGTCTGTCTGTCTGTCTGTCTGTCTGTCTGTCTGTCTGTCTGTCTGTCTGTCTGTCTGTCTGTCTGTCTGTCTGTCTGTCTGTCTGTCTGTCTGTCTGTCTGTCTGTCTGTCTGTCTGTCTGTCTGTCTGTCTGTCTGTCTGTATGCATGTTTGTTTGTATGTATGTATGTTTGTATGTATGTATGTTTGTATGAATGTATTATCTCCTTATACATACATATATGTAAATGACCTAATATATTATGTAAAACATAGTTTTTTTTCTAAAAAAAAAAAAAAAAAAAACATACCTGTACCAAAGTCTCTATAAAGGGGCTGGAACCCACCATGTCGTGTTGTTTACATTGGTGCTGACAAAAATGCGCAAAAGAGGTGTGGATACTGTTAAGTTACTGCTAAAAAAGCAGACAAGTGTTGTGTGTGTGTGTATTATTTGTGTTGTTACGGGGTTTGTGTGTGTGAGTGCATGTATGTGTGTGTGTCTGTTTATATTTCTGCCAGTCTTTTTATTTGTCTGTATGTCTGTACACGCAGTAAAGTAATTTATCGTCTTGATTGTCTTCGTGCAGCATTCATATATCCCATAGTAACACATTGGGCATGGGCCAGTGAGGGCTGGCTGAAAGTTGGAGTCATGTATGACATTAATGGTATTCAAGAAGCTATAGGATTTCACGTAAGTGACTCTAGTTTCTTCAAAAGCCTTCTTTCGTCTTACCGGTTGTAAATTTCGGCAGAAAGCATTAGTTGTTCGTCCACTTGTGGACTGTAGTCTTGTTCTAAAACGTGAGGTGTACATCTATTCTATAGAAAGGACTTATTTGATTGGTGGTCACTATTTTGAAGGGAATAACTTGTTTCCTAAATACGGCACAACATTAGAAAACAAATAAGTGCGAGCGCAATGGAATTGGAATTTTACGATGAGTGATGCGTCGCGGACAGGTGAAGCTGTTACAATATCCACATTTGCTGGTCGCACTGATATTTCTGGTGCCAAACTGTCTCTTACAACGTCTTATTCGCTATGCAGCAGTGTAGTGTCGGGATCAATCAGCCGCTACCTAATTAGGGAGACATCATTGGCGGACCCCAGGAAATTACAGTGGCCCACAGGCACTCATAGTCTGACCCATTACCTCCTTTCTCCCTCTTCCCCCACAAATTGTTTTGGGTAGGTGCCCACGGCAGCGGCTGGTCTCCTACACTGTCAGTCCTTTTTGATGCAGATGTTTTTCCCTGCCTAGATATTAGAATGCCCAGAATTTCCCTCCAACCTTTCTGTTGTTGGAACGGGCGGCAGTTTTCCCATCTCACGACACGCCCAGGGATTGTAGATTGACTATTTAGGGTTTTAGTTTTAAAAAAGTGAAGGGCCCTTTTCCACGCCTTCCGGCGTATTGGGCACATAGGGCTGGACCTTTATTTTATAGACTAATCGCCACTTGGTGGGTGATATTGTCAGCATCACGCTAGAATATTTAGGCTGCTTATTTATAAACTTCAAATATTACAATACATTTGTTTACTTTCTTCTTTCAGGACTTTTCTGGAAGTGGGGCCGTCCATCTAGTGGGTGGTACTGCAGCTTTGGTAGGAGCATTTATACTAGGTCCTCGTATAGACAGGTTTCATCCGGAGACAGGCGCTGATATGAATCTCAAAGGACACTCTGTACCGGTAAGTTTGGTCTTATAAGTTGTAAAGAATCTTTCGATAATAGCATCTCTTAGGGTATGTGTTATGTTGTATGTTGTTGCAATGAATAGCATCTCTGTACTAGTATGTGTGATGTCATATGTTGTTTAGAATTGTTTAATTATAGCATCTCTGCACTGGTATATGTGATGTTGAATAGGATCTTTCACTGATAGCATTTATGTACTGGTATGTCTGATGCTATATGGTGTATAGCATCTTTCAATAACAACATCACTGTACTATTATATAGCAACAGAATGACAAAGATAAGCTAAGCCCAAAATAAAAATATTGGACAAACATAAAGTATAAGCCATCTTTACCAAATCAACAACGTTAGCAAAGGTTTTGTGGGAAAAACATAAGTTATACTACATTTTTGTGTTGTGTTTTACTTCTTGTTTTTGGTTCTGCTGATGAAGAGTACTCGTCGCAACGTCCATTATTTATATAGCATCTACGCTGCGGTGATCCCATTATCTCCGGTCAAATTAGTAAAGTAAAGGACCCTTTTCCACGCCCTTGAGCATATTGGGTATACGTGCTTGACCCTAATATTATAGACCATGTTGTTTATGTTTATGTTTATTTAACGGATAAACATCATGACACACGGGTGTAAGCCATAAGTGCTCCGTTCTATTTCTAACTCAAGCCTGAGTCTAAAGAGTCTCAGCGCAGTACACAAACTCCGTAGCACCGGCGAGGATCCTGAAATACTTTGGGTAGATTTTTAACTCACAATTTTGCCCGGGCAGCGCCGTTAAGCTGCTCTTTTCGATTTCAAACTGCTAAGGTATTCTTTACGTGCGCAGCAATATACACAGACGTCCGATTTTACTACCCAGAGACCAGGGGAAATTACTTGACGTCCACATGAAAAAATCCCAGCTTTCATCAGGTCTTGAACCCGCGTTCAAGGCAAACACCATTCCTCGAGACCACCCAGACCCCATAATAGAGCAATCGGCACTCAGTGGGTGATGTGGTCAGAATTTCGCCAGCCGCCTTTACTTTCCAGGACTTTATCTGGTACCCATTTTAGGGTGTATCAACCTAGGGAGCAAGGTCATATTTTCGAAAAATTCCGACTGAATACGGATTTTGAACCCACGAATTTCATGCCAGCAGTTGTGAGTGTAGCAGCTACCCCACGGTGGACCCTCATTCGTTGTCGTCTTCTTCTTCTTCTTCACGTTCACCGGCTGTTAACGCCGGCGAAATATTCTAGTTGTTAGTCCATTTCTGGTCTCTAGTCCTGTTCCAGAACCTGAGTGTTGCGTGTACCACCGTTTCACATGTCTGACTCATTTGCATGCAAAGTGTTGTCTCCTTGCCTCTCAGGCAGATGCACTCCGACAGAAGAAAGGTCCCACTTAGTAGACTCTTACAACACGCTTTTGGGCACGCAGTGGGTCTGCTCTTGGTTTCCCCCACAGAAGGGCCCGGAAACCCACACAAGGATTGTGGTTGTTGTCACCACGATTAAGAAGATCCATCGGTTTGTTACAGTTTGCCGCACTGGGCGCATTGTTGCTGCTGATAACCTCATCATTGCTCTAGCAATCACCAACACCATTGTGGTTGTTGTCACCACCATTAATAAGATCTATCGGTTTGTTACAGTTTGTCGCACTGGGTGCATTGTTGATGATTACCTTATCATTGCTCTAGCAATCACCAACACCATTGTGGTTGTTGTCACCACCAATAATAAGATCTTTCGGTTTGTTACAGTTTGCCGCACTGGGCGCATTGTTGCTGATACCTGGATTCCTGGCCTTCAACGGCGGCTCTCAGCTGACGATGACCAACCCTGGAGATAACGTCATTATTGCTCTAGCAATCACCAACACCATCATTGCCGGCAGTATGTCTGCGTTCAGTGCTCTTCTCGTTCGAAGGTATATTTTTTTTTTATGTTTCCCATTGTATGTGTTCTACGCTTCGTAATGCCGGGGTGCCGGATTCGATCCCAGCTGCGGGTTATGCGCCTTGTGTTGGTTTCGACGGTGGTATCAGGGGGCTGACCGTCCAGTAAGCACTGGCAAACTACTGGATGTAAATTTGCCTAGAGAAACCACATAACAGCCAGGGGCTGCTAGGGTTGGTTCTGCAACGTCCTGTAAAGGATACGCAAGTAACCTAACCGATGGGTTCTACAGATCTTTCCAAACTTGTCATCTTGTAGGCGCACACCTTAACGATTTGGGGGTTGCCGTGGCTTAGCGGCTAGACGCTGGCATGCGAATCGGAAGGTTGTGGGTTTGCTCCCAGGTCGACCCAGCCTTGAGTGGGTACCGGGTGCAGTCCCGGGAAGTAAGGGCGGCCGGTCTTATGCTGACCACATCACCCATTTTGTACCGATTGATTTATAAAAATATAGGTCTCACCCTATATGCCCTAAACGCCTAAAGGCGTGGAAAATGGACTGTTACGCGAAACAGTTATTTCAACCTGCTAGCACAATACAGGTTAAACTAAACCCTTATAAGAAACACGTACACACCTTCACCACCCGTAGGACACAGTGTGGCACTGGTTGTGTTGTGGCTTACAGCTAAGCCGTGATATCTGTGTCTTTCGGTCTAGCACATCCGATTTCAGCAAAACTCTATTTAGTCACATTCTAATACATACTTGTTAGGAAACAGTGGGTCTGTTTTCTTAACCTCCCAGTGGGACCCTTCCCTGGAGACGGGCTAGATTTTCACGATGAGACGCAGGATCTGACCCTATACATAAGATAGCAATGAGCCTCACGAATACGTATTCAAGAGTGATGTAATTGTGCCTGTTATCATTGGTCAAATCTACTGCGTTATGAGCATTCCCTTATTATCCCTATTGCATTTTGTAATCCCTATTAAAAGAAAGAGAGAGAGAATGGAAAAACAAAATAACAAAAAAAAAAAAAAAAAAAAGAAGGAAGTGAAGAAAGAGGGAAAGAAGGAAAGAAAAATGACCACCAAAAACTACCATTAATGCCTTTAATTTACCACCACTTTTGCGGTGTAGGCAGGGATCTTTTAACGTACGGATTTAGGGCCGTATGATATATATATATATATATATATATATATATATATATATATATATATATATATTTAGAGAGAGAGAGAGAGAGAGAGAGAGAGAGAGAGAGAGAGAGAGAGAGAGAGAGAGAGAGAGAGAGACGGGAGAGGGAAAGAAAATCAGGCAGAATGAAAAATGGTAGAAAAAATTATTAGTGAAAACGAAAGGCATACATTGTAGGTAAGTTCTGATTTAATAAAAACCGCCTGTTACTCAAAGTGAAATGTGTTTTTCTGCCCTCTCTACAGGCTGGTAGGACGTAACTGGAGTGTCCTCTATACTGTCAATGGAATGGTCAGCGGAATGGTAACTATTTTTCTGTTTTAAGATTGTTTTTTGTATTTTGTTCGCTGCTGTTTAAAAGGGCTTGGGAACGCGATTTGTAGTTTCGAGATTCTATGTGCTTTTTTTGGCAGCAGACCGCAGGGATAATTTCAACAATGTTATCTAGGTCTGATCGTGCAGTAGCCATCCTCTGTTATCAGTTTCTTTAGAGAGCTTTGCTCTCGTTACGTTACGCCTAAATATCTCCTTCTTTCGCTAATTCTTCAGCCATACGTGCCTTCAGGGGTTCCGCTGTAAATTCTTTTCCATATCGAAATGAGGTGCCCAGCAAACGCCCTCCTATTATTTTATGTCTGGAAAATCTCAAAGACAACTGTCTGCCCATTATCTATTTTACTATAAACTAAGCTGTAATAGAGATCTTCGTAACCTGTACTGCAGTAATGGCTCCATCATTCAACTTTTCAATCCTGAACGTTTACCGATATTCAATTCCCACAGTGTGCGGTTGAGAAAAAGATCATTTTAGTGTCTTTCAGTCAGCGGTACAAGAGTCACACCAAAGAAGAGATTGGAACCTAAATCGCAAAATAAAAATCCCTATAGTTACCAGTTGGTGTATTGCAGCCAACCTCGATTGTGAAGACAGCACAATTCGTATTTTTTAAACGTGGACTGGGACTTTCCACAAAAATGTATCCCCGATGCAAAACCAGTTTAGGAAGTTCAGGAACCAGACCGGATCTCCTGCCATTAGTGAAAGGGGAAAAAAATGATAATCCAATATCATGAACGATGCAGAATCAATCCTCAAACTTTTCTTTAAACGTTTCACATATATAATCTATCTTCAAGGTTGTAGTTTATGGAGGCTGTGATGTGTACAGGCCCTGGGGTGCCTATGTTGCAGACAGGAGTTAAAGAGTTAACTAATGGCATCCAACTTATATAGTTTATCTTCAACGTTGTAGTTTGTGGAGGCTGTGATGCGTACAGGCCCTGTGGTGCCTATGTTGCGGGAAGGAGTTAAAGAGTTAACTAATGACATCCAACTTATAAATTTATCTTTAACGTTGTAGTTTGTGGAAGCTGTGATGTGTACAGGCCCTGTGGTGCCTATGTTGCGGAAAGGTGTTAAAGAGTTAACACATGACATCTAACTTATATAATCTGTCTTCAAGGTTGCAGTTTGTGGAGGCTGCGATGTGTACAGGCCTTGGGGTGCTTGTGTTGTGGGCCTAGTCGCTGGAGCCTGCTATAATTTTACTTCCTGGTGGGTGACCAAACTGAAGATTGACGATCCTGTTGATGCTGTTGGTGGTAAGTCTAGTTTCTGTATACGTGTGGGTTGTAGGACCCTACTGTGTCTGTGTGTGGAGGAAAGGGGGGGGGGGGACGAGAGGAGCATAGACCCACTGCCTTCAAACAAGCCTGTAGTAGGAATCGACTAATTGGGGACTCCCTTTAAAGTCGGATTTCATCCGCCCTAGTGGCTAGGAACAACCAACACACAAAAAAGCTAGTAAAACGAAGGCGCACGCAATACTCAGGCCCTGGCACAAAGCCAAAGTCTAAACGGACGAACAACCAGGACTTTCCACCGGAGCTTAAAACTAAAAAAAGCAGAAAAAAAAAAGGGGAAGGCTTTCTTAGGACGAATGAAGTCCATGAGGTAGACAGCAACTAAGCCTCAAAAACAAGATACATGAAACAATTTTTTTTAATAGTATCGAGAAATTAGATAAATGGCACACGATCATGACATCTTTCCTTCGAAACTTTATAATATATGAATCTACAGGGGGTAAAAGACTGAAAGATCTGTCACGAATCTGTGCAAATTGCATAACATTTAAAATTGTCTTCTTCTTCTTCTTTTTCTTCTTCTTCTTCTTCTTTTTCTTCTTCCTCTTATTCTTCTTTTTATTATTCTGCTGCTGCTGCTTCTGTTGCTGCTTCGGCTGCTGCTGCTGTTGCTGCCGATGTCGGTGTAAAAAAGCAATTTCACCAACCTAACACGTTACATTTTAATCTACACAGTTCACTTCAGTGGTGGAATTGTTGGCTGTCTAGCGGTTGCTTTTCTTAGCTATCCAAACGGTATTCTAATGGCCTGGGACAAGCGATCTGGACTGGTAAGTGATTGCAGGTTTATGAACATTTATAACTTCTCTATGCTTTTTTGTGATACCTAGTAGCCTCATTCGATTAAAAATAATGTATATATGGCTTTTCCTTTTTTCTCCCCCAACAAATTAGATCAAGATTCAATCCGTGCTATAAATTAGTCATTCATTTAACAAAATAACGAAGAGAACAAATACACACATACAGCAGTAACAACAATCAGGAGAAATGGGATGAAGAAGAAGAAGAAGAAGAAGAAGAAGAAGAAGAAGAAGAAGAAAAGAAGAAGAAGAAGAAGAAGAAGAAGAAGAAGAAGAAGAAGAAGAAGAAGAAGAAGAAGAAGAAGAAGAAGAAGAAGAAGAAGAAGAAGAAGAAGAAAACGGATGAGGAGAAGGAGGAGGGGAAAAGGAACAGAACGAGGAGCAGAATGAAAAGGAAGGGAAGAATGCGATTAAGTTGGAAGAAAATGAGGGGGAGGACAAAAAAAGAAGGATTAGTGGATTTATTATTATAGCTATAATATATATTCACAACAGCAGAGGAGTTACTATCAATCAATAGATCACATCGTTTCCCTCTCCTGGCTGCTGCTGAAAGATTTACCACCCTACAGTTTAGAAAAAAAAAAAATTTTAAACAGCCATAGACCGACAGAGTAGATCCTGGATCAACCTTCAAAGATGTTATCTTTTTTTTTTCTTTGCGTTCACCAGCTGTAAACTCTGGCGGAAAGTTATGGTTGTTAATCCAATTCTGGACTGCATGCAGTCTTGTTCCAAAACCTTAGAGTGTTGCGCGTGCATCCGTTTTACAAATCTGACTCATGTGTATACAGCCTGCTGGTTCCTTGCCTCTAGGGTTGATGCACTCCAACTCCCAAAGTCAACCATTACGACATGCTTTTGGGTAGGCAGTGGGTCTATTCTTGTTTTCCGTATAATACGGAACCCACACGGGGAAAAGATATTATATTCTGGAAATCCAATAGTTACTGCAAAGGAACAAAACTCCGACTCTACAAGAGCATCATTTTGCCAGTTCTTCTTTATGGCGCAGAATGCTGGAGAATGACCAAAAAGGATGTACACAAGCTGTCCACCTTCCACCACACATTTCTGCGTAGAATTATCACAATTTTCTGGCCAGATACAATCTCAAACACTAAACTTCTTCAAGTCACAAACCAAGAAACTCTAGACAGTAGGATAACCAAGAGAAGATGGAAATGGCTTGGCCAAGTTATGATAAGGAATCCTGATATACCTGCCAAAACAGTTCTCACATGAATACCAGAGGGAAAGAGAAAAACGGGGCGCCCAAAAACTACATGGAGACGATGGAAAGTGACCTGAGTGTGGCATCTTTGACATGGAAAACTGCATTGAAGATTGCACAGGATAGGAAAGCATGGAAAGTCCTCTCTGAAGCCTCTTGTGCCACTAGGCATAACGAGAACTGATACACACATAAAACACAGACACAAAACACAGACATAACATACACGCAAACATAATATACACAGACATAATACACATAGACGCAACACCAACAAACACACAAATACAACACACCCAAACATAACACACATTGATTTAACACTCAGAGATAACATGCAAACAATCATAACACTCACATGCGCAAAAGACGTAACATTAACAGACATAATAACACATACAAAGACACAACACACAGAGACATAGCATATACAGACACTTCACACACACAGACATAACACACACATCAACAACACTGAAAGAAAGAAAAAACACAAGCATAACTTACACACACAGCGACATAACACACAGACACCCTACACAGTAACAAAAAATGCATAACATTGAGAACAAAATGAGATAGATAAGGTAACGAATCAACCCATGGCGACTGAACAAAATGAGATAGATAACGTAGAGAATCAACCGATGGCGACTGAACTCTTATTCTAAACTGCTTCACATTTATAGATGCTGGCTTGGCAAATCGTTGGAGTTCTAGCGATCATCCTTTGGGTGGGGGTTCTGTCTGCCGTCATGTTTGGAGCCATGAAAGGATTAGGCATCTTCAGACTGTCTGAGGAAATAGAAAGGAAAGGTAAGTCACACCAGGCTTTGATCTGTTTTAGTAGCTTATGTCACTCCAATGAAGTGTTTGGTATTTTTGACTGTCTGAGGAAGTAAAAAGGAAAGGTGGGCCAGATAGGTTTTGATCTGTTTATTACTGCATGAAAATGTGTCATATTTCCATGGACCCTTATAAAAGACAAACACCATCACTTAACACATTGAATTAAAATTCTGGATGTATTCATCTTTTCCGTGACAGTTTACGAATATTGCCAGTTGGCAGTCACTAATGAGAAACAGCAGGTATTTTGAACTTACATTTTTCAGTAGAATATCATGTCGCAGCTTCACCGGAGCCCCGTAGGACAGGACGTTTCGGGGTGACACATGGTGGCCCTCATGGCTACTGTAGTTGTCCCGTGGCACAAGGTCACACCATACTCCGCACAACCCTAGCAATCCCCTACTTTGTCCTGTTACCATCTCTCACGACGGGGACGTGGGGTTGGTGTTTGAGAGAAATTTGATTGTCTACCTTTCCTTTAAATGCGACCCATTCTTGTGTTCATACAAATCTCACCTGTGCCAATTCCACTTTCATTTACCTGTATTTGACCGAACATGTTACTTTTTGTACCGTTGTTGACATACTCACATTAGTATGAGCCTGTCAGCATCCACCAACAACCCTCTGGTCTATACAATCAGGACTCTTGCATTAAATGACAGTCGCGCCACAGTGGGTAAAAAGAATTCTTTACCTAACATAGTCCAACGGAAGACTGGGCTTCGACTCCTGGGTAGGGTTAAGAATTTTTTTCTGTCAGAGGCAAAAATTAAATTTCTTACCTGCACAGTCCGTGGCGACAGCACCAGCCATGCGGCCGTAAATCATCAGGCTCAAAGACCCCACCCCTCCTACTTTTCCCTACCCACAGCCTACACAGCAAAAGTGGTATAAAAAAGACAATAATTAGCAGTTTTTGACAAAATATGACATTACACTATATATGTCTGTTGATTGAATTGACCCACCCACAACTGGACTAAATGTTCCTTCCTAACCTTTTTGTGGTGTACCCATATAACTGTGCTGTAGGGTTTTTTTTCGATTCCGGTTTGATTCTCATCCTTGAATGTAAACCCTGCAGACTGCAATCCTAGATGTGAAAAACTAATAGTCATAATAATATTAATTTGTCTATAAAGTAAACTGGGAAAAGGCGTGGGGTGTTGCTTGCTTGCTTGTTTGTTGTACCCCATTAGGACATCACACAAGCGATAAACACCCGGTAATACAAAGTGCCACCATGCGGATGAGGATCACCTGTGGAGAGTTCCCAGAAACCCCTTTCAGCCGTTATGGCCACAATTGTGGCTAAGCTATATTTAGAGCCCTCGGCAAAAGCTAAGGTGGGGCTTCAAATAAAAAAAAAAAAAATGCATCCTACAAGGGGATGACTACGTGGGGTGTTACGCTCTAAATGCAGATGTTTTGTAATTATGTTGCATGCGTTTTGTTGAGAGTAAAATACATTTCATCCATTTTCTTTACTCCTTAAGGTTTGGATCTTCCTATTCATGGCGAACATGCATACCCACCTGAAGCCTACGATGACTTGGTTACACTAGACAGAATGCTCAAGGCACTGGAAGCAGGGCAACTGACAACTACCCAATTAGGTGAGCAATGTTAAAAACGACATCGTTGAGTACCTTCTTTTAACAGTATCGGCGTCTGTGTTTTCGGGATTATATTAGTAGTATCATAATTCTGACGTATTAAGGTTTGAAGTCAATTGCAGTTGATTTTTTGTAGTAGGCAACTTTGCGTTGATTTCTATGCAGATGACGTCTGTTTACGCACAATGGATAGGTCAGCCCGCCCGGTAAGGGCATTGCTCTCAGAGAAGAAAATTGGAACCTACTGAATTTGGGTGTCGCCGTGGTATTGTGGTTAGACACTCGCCTGTGGATCCAAAGATCGTAGGTTCTAGTCGAAACGGAACCGGACTTGAAAACAAAAATGGCCTTGGACCGAGCTTGAAGTGGCAAGTAGAACAGAGCATTATATGTTACCATCCTTGAGCCATGATGTCGATCATTGTTTAAACAGAATCAGTTGCTTGGATTGTCACAGAGAGGTGCAGTTCAGTCTGAACCAGTTTTAACCCTGGTCCCGTAGTACCAACATAATAAAAAGTAAACGACCTTTTTTCCACGACTTCATGCGTATTGGGCATATAGGGCTAGACATATATTTCACAGACCAATCGGTACTCGGTGGGTGATGTAGTCTAAATCACACCGGCTGCCTTTACTTTCCATGACTTTACATGATACCCAATTAAAGCCAAGGTCATTTTGAAAAAGAAAGTTCCACTGCGAAAATTTGACTTTTCGTAACCGGAGGCGACTGTCTGAGCGTTACACTATGGTGACTTCCCTATATCCTATAAACGAAATTAAGTATATCATTCTTTTAAGTTATACTTTGTTACTAGATTAAAAGGAAAGATGTTTATTCATTTTGTTTTCAATCCCCAGGAAACATGGTGAAAGACGGAAAAGATTTCAACATGTATGACATCCCGGAGATCAAGCTCACAAACTTTATGGCTGGCAGAAAAAGATCTAGAGGGTTATCGATCACACCTTCAGAAATGGAGATAGTTGTGAAAAACAAGGACGGATTATCAAGAACTAGAAGACCGTCTTACGCTCCTTCAGAGATGGAAATAGTTGTCAGACCAAGTTTGGAAATGCATGGAAGAGTTAACGAGGCGTTCGATGAAGAATCGGAAAGAAGACTTGAAGGGGATGTCAACAATTATTCTAGACGAAAAGGACAATAAATTATTCCTGACAATGGAGACACAATAAATTCTTTGAATGTGCTCTCATTGACAGATCAACCAGCATTCTTGGTTACTTCTGAAAATCCGGTATATATTACAAATTTGCAATGTTGAGATATGTGTGCTGAATTGTATTCTATGTTGATGCGTAATCATTTGGCATGAACGAGCCTTAGTGTGCGGATTAGAAAAAATTCACATTGTATTGGTCATTTCGTAATATTTATGTGATATATTTTAAAATCATGTTCACGACAAATCTAAGACTATCTTGTTCCAAATCCAGAGTTTTGGTCGACCTCAGAACCATACAGGTTTCTTAAAAAATAGTTCACCACCTCGATGTTTCTGTTTAAATGTATTAACGTTTTTCAGTGAATCCATTCTATGTTCGTTGTTACTCTGAAGTCATCAGTTCCACAGTGTTTAGATGTTAATTCAATTAGATTCACAGTGCAGCACGTTAAAATATAACAACTTCGAGATAATAAGTGTTATTTTGACAACTGCCTAGAATATAAAAAGTTATTATGAGGCAGGAGAATAACCAGAAGAGATCGAGTGAGAAACGAGTTAATCACAAACACTGTAAGAAAAACACCCATCGTCAAATTTATTTAAAAACAAAGTATAAAATGGTTTGGCCATCATAAAGAATGAAACCAACGATGCCAGCAGCAAGAGCATACAACCTGAAAATCGAAACATATATAGGCAGGGGAAGACCAAGAAGAAAATGGATTGAAGCAGTCACAAACAAACGCAAATTTTTCAGAACAACTTGACCATTTAGCCACTAGAGAACCGTTCCGTCTTTTAACTGTTTTCATAAATTCATAATTTTGAGAAAAAGAACTCACGGGATCGTGACTGATAAGGAAACTGGCGAAAAAAAAAAAGTTCTTTCCATCCGTGGACTCCGATCTTGAATAATTACTTAACCATGTCGTCCCCATGTGGTATGCAATTTTTCGTTATTTGAAGCACCACCCTGGCTTTTGTAGGGAGGCACTTAATATAGTCGGGCCATAAATATGGCCTAATGGCTGAACGGGGTATCTGGGACATCTCAACGAGTGATTCTCATACGCATGGTGGCACTTTGTGTCACCTTGTATTTAACGCTTTGTGTGATGTCCTGATGGGGTACAACATACATTATACATCTTGAAAGGCAGGCATCTGAACACATGGTCATCGCTGCTTTATGTGTTCACTCATAGTCGGGTCTGTAAGCCCAGTACACCTGCGGGAGTGGAACCGGTCCTTTGCCTACTCACTTCATACTCGGGTAATCATTGTGGCCTTACAGTTTCCAGTATATGCATATACATAGTCAGTGTCTGTGGGTTAAAGGATTAAATTCCGTAATTTCCACGTCCCAAGATTCGAAGTCAGCCTAAAGGAAATTTAACAGCAGAAAGCTGTGTTTTATTTTAACTAAAGCGTGAGTTTGGAATTGTTCCGAAAGCAAGTGAACACTTCCACTTCGTCTCCTCCCCTTTCTTCTTCTTCTTCTTCTTCTTCTTCTTCTTTTTCTTCTTCTTCTTCTTCTTCTTCTTCTTCTTCTTCTTCTTCTTCTTCTTCTTCTTCTTCTTCTTCTTCTTCTTCTTCTTCTTCTTCTTCTTCTTCTTCTTCTTCTTCTTCTTCTTTTTTCTTCTTCTTCTTCTTCTTCTTGTTTCCTTCAGTTCTCTATAGTCTTTCTGCACAAGGTTTTGAAAAAGCATCGTGTGAAAACCTTGCTATTTGCTACGGTCTCGACTATTCCGTCTGTTCATCGCTGGCGTGGTCGATCTCTGGATCTGCTTCCATTATATCTAAATAACAGGGCTCTCTGTGGTGCACTCTCTGGTAGGAGTCTTTACACATGTCCAAACCACTTGACTGCAAGTCCAAAACACTGAATGTAAAAACCACAAACAACACACGTAAGCTAGGTTGGTTTTCATCGTACCGTTACCTAAGCATAATAAACCCTGATGAAGGTTTCATCGTTGACCTTGAATCATTGTACATATTCATGAAGTTGATGTTCTGAAATACAATGCTGATTTTGTTTACTGTACATAACATACTTATGATGTTAGGTAAAGAGCCTGTGTGAAATAAAGTGCCCCATTTAGTGTGTGTGTCAGTGACATTATTATTTCGTTGTGGTGTTCCACATTTTTATTGTTTTAGCGCTCACCGGCTGTAAGCTCCGATAGAAAGATCTGGTGTTTCGTCAACTATTAGGCTTTGGTCTTGTCCCAAGCTTGACTTTTGCGATTACATCTGTTTTACAAATCTGGCCTATCTAAATACAGACTGTTGGTTCCTCATCTCTCAAGCAGATGTTATCTGATTTCGAAGGACACTTCCTAATTAGTCGCAGCGGGTAAATCCCCCCCGCCCCCCCCCCCCATGGAGCCCAGAACCCACAATGGGAGTTGTGTTATTATTTATGAGCATATAATCAATTTAAAAATAAAATTTTAAAGGAAAAATAGAAGAAGAGGTAGGGGTTTAACAATAAGACGGTGCAAACAAGGTATCAAGAACATTCTGACTGTAAAAGCTCACAATGCTTTCCGGTTTGCCGTGACCAGAGCGACGTTCTGCAAAGAACCTGTTACAGGACGTTATGATTGGCCATTTGGATAATATCAACAACAAAAATGGGAATTGATCAGACATTTATCACAGTATCGTTATTGTGCACCCTGTTGTGCGGTTTAGACGCCATTTATGGCTTGCAGATGATGCCTCTGTATTGTTCTGTTCTTGCAATCATTTCTAAAATGAGTTTGGAATCGCGATAGACACATCCGATCTCTCACACTAGCATTTATAGTAAGACAAACATTGATTTACACCAAGCTTTCAGGTTTGTCTAAAAGAGTAACTACACGAGAACTATACATTAGCTTGTCGGGGAAAGGGCGTCTTTGTTTGAAACGTGCAGTTCCAATGAAAGGTGTGAACATATATTTGATGGACTTAAATAGTAGGTAATCTTGCACCTGCAAGTGCACGTCTACCTCTTTGGTTACAATGGCGACGCGGTCGGTGTATTCTACTTCTAGGTCTTTTCTTTTCTTTTCTTAGGGGAGGGTGTGTTTGTGTGTGTGTGTGTGCGTTCAAATGGAGAACCTCACCTAAGTTACACGTACTTTGTTGCAAGAGTAAGAATCATTGACCGCCATATTAACATATGAAGGACAGAATCTGTGGATGCCGCAGCTAACATTATGCTCTTTATTTCCCAGCCGCAGACACGTCAAAACACATTTTAATCGCATTGAATAAATGCACATGTTACACATATCAGCTGTACTCAATCATCCAGCAATAGATAATATTTTCTTTATGTTTCTAACTGGTAAATGACGTGGTGTTTGGACGGAAACGCCCAGCAACCCCCCTCCCCCCTTCCTTTTCCTCCTTTTTTTTAAACGATTCAAACACACAGGAAACATGCCTGGGTGGTAAAATGTTGACACTCACCGAGTTTCAGATGTTTTCTAACAAAATACACCAAGGACAAACTGGCTTCTCATAGAAAATATTGAGGCACATGAGGTCGAGATGACCAGGCGGCAGGATGCCAGTTTCCAACTATAGGATCTTGTGATCCGTGCGTCACGGCCGTTCACGCTTGTAAATGTTTGAGCATGCAACGCTAAACTAAGCAGCAAGAAATGACAGTCTTCGAGGAAAGAATTCATCGGAACTGAGATGATGGTAGCTTTTGTTGTGGGGATTTTTATGCCAGCCGCCATTTATGGGGCAACATGCAATAGGTCTGCCTCAGTGTTGACAGAATAACCTAGATAGCCAGTCGATCAGAAAGCGAGAACAGTGTGCTAGTTTTGAAATTGGTTTAAGTACTTTCTTATTAGCGACCACAAACAGGGGAAATCCACAGGTGACGGGACAGTCCAATATTTCAGGGGGGGGGGGTGGTGGTGGTAGATTAAGCGTATAGTTTTGGTTAGGGTTAGGGTTAGGTTGACGGGCGAATACCTTGGCCTTGGAACAAACTTGCTAAAACAGAAAAGACGGAAAACCCGCTCTTACCACCCTCTAAAATATTGGACTGTCCCGTAACGTCATTTGTGGTCGGTTTTAAAAAAAAGTTTCTCGGTTTAATCTGCCCGTATCTTACCATGCAATTGGTATGTCCTTTGTAATAGTGGTAGCGACAACTGCGGCTGTAATATTCTAACGCCCTCCCCCCCCCCCTTTTCCAAAAAAATAGAAAAGTGTGTATACAAAACAAACAACAAATCTAAACCCGTTCAGGTGCATCGGGGAAAAGCCTTTTTCAAGAGCAAAATCAGGAAAGCCACACTTGAAAAACGTGAGATTAAAAAAAAAAAATAATAGTTATAATAATCAAAACAATGTTTTCCCGTAATGAATTTCCGCATTATTTAAATAATAATAATAATAATAATAATAATAATAATAATAATAATAATAAAGTGTAGCAAACTGATAAAACGATGAGGTAGAGTCAGTACTGACACTTTAAAGACATGCCGTCAAGCCCTAGCAAAATGCAAAATAATCCTTTGACTCTCCTCCAGGCCTACTGGAGCTTATTCAGGCTATGAAGAACACTTCTACAATCTTCAGAGCAATTCAGAGCTCACAAATAATAATTTGAAAAAAAAAATGGAAAACATTTCGTCATGAAGTGTATATTGAAAAGCCTCCTGCAAAATTATGGTCCACACACAATTTCATGACAGGCGCTGTTAGATACCGAGGTACTAGAAACTTTCGCAATCAAGACCACACTTGGAATAGGGCTGACGAGGACAAAGGTATAGTGCCGTCAGCCTGGAAGGAAGCCATCATCCAGCCTAACCTTTAGAAGGGTGGAGACAGAAGAGACCCAGAAAGCTACAGACCCATCAGCCTTCTTAGCTGTGTATGAAAATTGATGGAAAAAAATTAGTTTAAAAGAGACTAATGTTGTTCTTGGAAACTAACTCGATAATCATCACCAC